TTTAATCTGTTAAAAGTGCAGTTTTAATCTGTTAAAACTTCTTTTAATCCATTAATACGTTCTTGATTCTTTAACAGATTTGTTTTAACTGATACGACAACGTTTATATCAATTAAAACACTTTACAAAAAATCTTCTAAGTTGATTTAATCGATTGTTTCGCGATTCAATCGATTGAAATACTTGCAAAACTTTCTCGTGACACTTTTCAAGTAATTTTAAGCTGATAAAAATAAGTTTTAATCGATTAAAACGCTTGCAGAAATTGTTTTAATCGATTGAAACGAGATTTAATCGATTAAAATAGTTCTGATCGGTCATAACTACATTCTGATCGATCATAATTGAAACAATATAATAGCGGTTCCAGGTTAACCGCTATCTAAAATGTATCTCGCTTGAGCGACACCCTTCTCGCTCGAGCGAAACGCCCCCTGCACAAAATTAGCATTCTCGGGTTGTATTTCGCTTGAGCGACACTACCCTCGCTCGAGCGAAATTAGATTTTGATCGATCATAACTTGAAATGATCGATCATAATTGAGAGGATATAATAGCGGTTCCCTTATAACCGCTATCTAAAGTGTATATTAGATAGCGGTTATAAGGGAACCGCTATCTAAAGTGCATATTAGATAGCGGTTATAAGGGAACCGCTATCTAAAGTGTATATTAGATAGCGGTTCCCTTATAACCGCTATCAGTAAGTAAAAAATAAAATAAAAAAAGACTTTCAACGTCGGTTCATATGGGAACCGACGTAGAAAGTACTTTCTACGTCGGTTGACTAAGAACCGACGTAGAAAGTGTTTAATATTCAATTTCAACGTCGGTTCATCTGAGAACCGACGTGGAAAGTACTTTCTACGTCGTCTCAGCTATAACCGACGTTAAATAACGACGTAGAAAGTATATTTTGTAGTAGTGTATTAATGACCAACGACTTTTTTCTTATGTTATTTTCCTATTTAAATGAGTTTTGATGAAAAATCAAAACACACAATTACAGAATTGAAAAATTCAATTTACATTCAATTAGTTTTGAGAAAAAAAATTATGAGCAAGGCAACAAAGCACTTTTAGGTTTTCTAAGAAAACTTTTTCATATTGGCTTCTGCAATTTCATTGTTAGTTACACTTGTTCTTGGAGGTTGGCATTCTACATGCTTCTACAATTTTTTGTATACATTACCAGGTGTGACTGTTCTTATATTATTCATTGTGTTATTTAGGATTTTCAGAGTGGGAACTGTTCATCCCTTGATTGGTTCAGTGAGGTGTTCATTCCTTAATTGGTTCAGGGAAGGTGTTTCATCCTTGATTGGTTTAAGTTAATCAATTGTGTTATTCTATTGTTCATCCTTAGTGGGATTCTAAGGAGGTGTTTTCATCCCTTTGATTTGTTCAAGGAGGTGTTCATCCCTAGTGTGATTCTAAGGAGGTGTTCATCCTTAGTGAGATTCTAAGGAGGTGTTTTCATCCCTTTGATTTGTTCGGGGAGGTGTTCATCCCTAGTGTGATTCTAGGGAGGTGTTCATCCTTTGTGTGTTAGTGGCAAAGGAGATGCTTTTCATCCTTTGATTTGTTCAGAGGAGGTGTTCATCCCTAGTGGGATTATGGGGAGGTGTTCATCCTTAGTGGGATTCTAAGGAGGTGTTTGTCTTTTGAATTAGTTTACTTTTTACTGGTTCCTCTACTGAGTTGATTGTAATTTATAAACTGAATTTGAAAGATAGTGAATTGGAGTCACTCTTGTGATTAGAGTTGACTAGGAATTGGATGTAGGGTTGGTTATACCCGAACAATATAAATTATTGTGTGCTCTTTGATGAGCCATTATTTTCCCGCATTTTCTTATCTTTCTATACTTATCTTAATTGGTGCATTGTGCTTAATTGTCTATTATTAGTGCATTTTCATTGATTGGGCTTCATTGGGCCATTATTCCGAATTTTGCTTAATTTAGCATTAATTGGTCTAATTTTCGTTTCTAATTACTTTTAAGTATTTTTGGTGAAGCAATTTTGGAGCTTGGACATTAATCTTGAGATGAAGAGAGTTTCCACATCAATTCCACATCATTTCCACATCATTTCCTCGTCATTTAAGTGATTGGGCCCACATTTGAGGCCCAGAGTGGCATTTTTGTAATTTTAAACCCTAGAATGGCATTTTTGTAATTATGGAGTGCTGGGATGAGAGGAATATGGGAGAGGGTTTCATTTTTAAGAGAGGGGGCTTCTTCCAAACTCTCCATCTCCAATTTTTCCATTTGGGAAGCTCTCCATGGTGCCACCACTTAGGTTTTGTGTTTTCATTGTTGGATAGACACCATTTTCATGTTTTCTTCTCATTTTCAGCTTGGAACAACTTGGTATTCTGTATTTAGATGTTTGGAACAGTGCCCACTTGGGGTTTTTCGATTTTTCCGCATATTGGATCTTTGAGTTTCGGTTTCCAGTTCTTTCATATATATGACGAAGTATTTTCGTTCATTTCTGTATTTGCTATTCATTTCCATGGCTAGCTAAACTTTGAGTATTAATTCCTTAAGGAGAATGTGATGAACCCTTGAGATTTTTGTGTTTTGAAGTGTTTCTATGTGAAATATGTGAAAGAGAAGATAATATGTGAAAGAGAAGAGGAAAGAGAAGAATGATATCTATAAGAGCAAATACAAAGCTTATATTGCTTGGGAGGATAATGATTCATCCACAACACAAGAGAGTTCTTTCGAAAGCAGGGATGGAGAAGAAGAAGAAGAAGAAGAAGAAGAAGAAGAAGCAAATCTTTGCTTGATGATAAAGAGTGGTGATGAAGCCTCATCACAAGAAACCTCATCACAAGTAAGTAGCATAAAATCCTTAAATACATATGATGAGTTGCTTAAAGCCTATCAAGAAATGTTTGAACATCTTGAAAGACTAACTAAGAAACATACTGCACTTAAACAAAAGTTTCATGCATTAGAAAATACTGTTAGTATTCTTGAAGAAGAAAATGAGTGCTTAAAGAAGGATGTTGAGAAATTTAAAACTATGTCTAAAAATAAAGAAATTGCTAAACCTTGCGAAAATTGTAATCATTTGGAAAATGAGGTTTTCAAGTTAGAGAAAATAATGAGAAAATTTTCCAAATCTTCTACTAATCTTGACTCTATGTTAGGTTATCAAAGAGTGGATTCTAGCAAAGCTGGACTTGGTTAGAAACCCAAGTCTAGAACCTCATAAAACTATTTTTGTGAAAGAGTCAAGGAAAATAGATGAAAAGCCAGTTTTAAGAACTTTAAGAAACTCATTTAGACCTCTTCAAAGAAAACCAACATGTTTTTATTGCATGAAATTAGGTCATACATCAAATAGATGTTACATAAAACATTTTGGCATATCTAATGGCAAATATGAATGGGTGCCTAAAGGAACAAACTATTTATACATGTCGAGATGATAGTTTAAGCATCTAATAGATTATGAATTTTTAGAAAAAAAAAATTATTGTTGTCATAATCGATTATGACATCACCATAATCAATTATGATGGGTCAAATGTGATACTGATGAATTTTCTTGTTGTGATAATCGATTATTTTATTTCTGTATGTGGTGTTATAATCGATTATGTTGTCTTCTAGAGTGCAATTCCTTGTTGTCATAATCAATTATGTTATTTTTGTATGTGTTGTGATAATCGATTATGTTGTCTTCTAGAGTGAAATTTCTTGCTGTCATAATCGATTAAGTTGATTCTGAAGGTGTTGTGATAATCGATTATGATAGAAAACTTTTGAAAGTTTGAAAAAAAAAAGTAATTACATCATGGTTCTATTCTTTTATCCTTAGTCTTTTGGCTGAGACTTGTGATTCTACTAACTTGTTAAGGACCCAAAGATGATGAAAGGGTACCTAGATTTGTATGTTGATATTGCAGGTGATTATCAAGGAAAAGAAATAAATGCAGATTATTGGAGCTAAATGGGTGTATAGGAACAAGCTAGATGAACAGGGAAATATTACAATGATAAATTTATTCTTGTTTCCCATGCCTCTGCATTAAATATGTGCACTTATCTGTCACATAAATTTGATTGTTGACCAACTTTGAAATTTGAAAGTTTGAATTTTGAAAATCTGAATTTATGAAATTTTGAAATTATTAAAGTTTGAAATTTGAAAGTTTGAGATTTTTGAAATTTGAAATTATGCAGTTTGAGATTTTGAAATTTTTGCAGTTTGAGATTTTTGAATTTGAATTGGAATTTGAAATTTGAAATTTGAAATTTGAAATTTGAAATTGAAATTTGGGATTAGAAATTTGAATTTGAAATTTGTTGCAACTTGAATTTAAAAATTGAAATTTGAAATATTAGTGAATTTGAATTTGAATTTGAAAGTTGCCTCAATAAGAAGATTGCAATTGGGGGAAACTATTGTATTTCATTCCATTATCTCTGCAATCATTTCATTCCCCTATCTTTCTCTCTCTTCATTTGCCTTGGGTATCCTAAATATTGCTTCCTTAATATGATGTTCTTCTTTATGACACTTTGTGATGCATTATCTTCTCTGCCTTGATTTATGTACTAATTTGTGCAAATTTGTGCTCAATCTCTATTGCAATATTTTTCATAATTATCAATGAAGTAGGGAGAGATTTTGATGATATTAGTTTGTGTGAAATAGGGGGAGATTTTTTTTCTCTTGAAATATTTTTTATGATTATCAATGAAATATGGGGAGATTTTTTTATGAATTAAAATCTGTATGAAATTCATTCCTAATTCTAAATTAAACAGGGGGAGTTAGGATAAGTCTTTGCTCATATTAGTTAGAAGGAGTCTTGTTATTAATATATCCAGGGGGAGATTAAGAGACTCTGACACTTGATACAAATCTGTGCTAATTTGTGCTACACTATATTGTGCAAATTTGTGCTAATCTTGAGCTGACTATATAGAGTCGAGCATTTTAATTCATTTCAGGTATTTTCTTGATCATCATCAGAAAGGGGGAGATTGAAAGCATTAAGGGGAAGATTCATGGCAATGTGAAACCTCATGCAAGAAAAGAATGTTCTAGCTTAAGGCACTACATGGCTTGTTGGATTGCCCTAGAACTTAAAGCATTGAGGGGAAGATTGACGGCAATGTCAAACATGTCCCTACATTCTCAAGAGATGATTTTGATGATGATTCAAGTCAATAACATTCATACATCAAGTAAGTCCAACATGATTCCTGAAGACTAGATAGAGTCTTAGAATACTGGATATGCAAGTACAAGTTGATGAAGTGGTATTATGCATAAGCCTCCAAAGCAAAAGCATGATAAACTTTCGTAACATGACATTTTTCACTGTCATAATCGATTATGATGCATCAAAAATGGAAAAACGATTTTCTCTTTGTCATAATCGATTATACTGGTAGCATAATCGATTATGACAGTTCAAATTTGAAAAATATATTTGTTTTGAAGAATAAATGTTTTTGAATACATCCTGATTTTTCTCTAAGAAAGTATTAATGATCAACGACTATTTTCTAATGCTATTTTCCTATTTAAATGAGTTTTGATGCAAAATCAAAACATAAAATTACAGATTTCAAAAATTCAATTTACATTTAATCAGTTTTGAGAAAACAATTTTGAGCAAGGCAACAAAGCACTTTTAGGTTTTTTGAGAAAACTTTTCCATATTTCCTTCTGCACTTTCATTGTTAATCACACTTGTTCTTGGAGGTTGGAATTCTACAGGCTTCTACAATTTATTGTCTCCATTACCAGGTGTGATTGTTCTTATTTTATTGATTGTGTTATTTAGGATTTTCAAAGTGGGAACTGTTCATCCCTTGATTGGTTCAGGGAGGTGTTCATCCCTTGATTGGTTCAGGGAAGGTGTTTCATCCTTGATTAGTTTAATTTAATCAATTGTGTTATTCTATTGTTCATCCTTAGTGGGATTCTAAGGAGGTGTTTTCGTCCCTTTGATTTGTTCAGGGAGGTGTTCATCCCTAGTGTCATTCTGGGGAGGTGTTCATCCTTAGTGAGATTCTAAGGAGGTATTTTCATCCCTTTGATTTGTTCGGGGAGGTGTTCATCCCTAGTGTGATTCTAGGGAGGTGTTCATCCTTTGTGTGTTGGTGGCAAAGGAGGTGCTTTTCATCCTTTGATTTGTTCAGAGGAGGTGTTCATCCTTAGTGGGATTCTAAGGAGGTGTTTGTCTTTTGATTTAGTTTACTTTTTACTGGTTCCTCTACTGAGTTGATTGTAATTTGTAAACTGAATTTGAAAGATAGTGAATTGGAGTCACTCTTGTGATTAAAGTTGACTGGGAACTGGATATAGGGTTGGCTATACCCGAACCAATATAAATTAATGTGTGCTCATATGTTTCCTTTATCTCTTTAACAACATCGCATTCTACATCTCCACGCTTGAATCTTTCTCTTTATCTATCTGATTATATCGCTTCCACTTTATCTATATTTTATCTGATAATTAAAATTGAATTAATAAATTATTGGATATCTTAAAATAATTTTTTAATTTGACATCTATTTTAATTTGTGCATCTATTCACCCCCCCCCCCTTTAGATGTCATTTGTCTAACAGTCATTGCAGGGAGCTTTAGGTACACAGTTGAGGATGAGTTCAGCATATCATCCTCAGACTGATGGACAGTCTTAGAGGACTATTCAGTCCTTAGAGGATTTGTTGAGGGCCTACGTACCAGATCATCTGGCTAGTTGGAGCGAGATTTTACCTTTGGTGGAGTTCACGTATAATAATAGCTACCACTCTAGCATTGGGATGGCTCCATATGAAGCTTTGTATGGGAGAAGGTGTCGAACAACATTATGTTGGTATCAAGATGGGGAAGCAGTGACAATAGGACCAGAATTATTGCAACAAACCATAGATAAAGTTAAGTTGATCAAAGACCGAATGCGAGCAACTCAAAGCAGACAGAAATCTTATGCTGACAAGAGAAGAAAACCTCTTGAGTTTGAGGTGGGAGATCATGTATTTCTCTGAGTGACTCCGATGACTAGCATTGGGAGGGTCATTAGATCAAGGAAGTTAACACCGAAGTTTTTTGGGCCATATCAAATTCTCAAAAGGATTGGTTTGGTCGCTTATGAGATTACGTTGTCACCGTCACTGGCAAACTTTCATAAAGTATTCCACGTATCACAGTTGATAAGAAACATATGATGGTTGTTATGGTTTGGAGTAATGGTTGAGTCTTGGGGGTTGTGAGTTCAAATCTTGACTAGAGTAAAAAGGAGGTAATAATATATATTTTTTCGTAAATTTAAGTGGTGTACCTTGGGAGGTGAATAGTTGAGGTAGATACATTGAATTTGTACACAGGTACCAAATTAATTAAGAGAGTAAGTGGGCTAGAAATTGGGAGAGGAAGGGCTTGGATTAGAAAAAATAATAATTTTTAATTTAAATTTTATTTATATAGTCTGGTAAAGGAAAACAAAGGGGCATGAGAGCTAATTTAAAAATTAGGGTTTGGGAGAGAGTAGAAAACGCTGGAAAGAGAAAGAAATGAGGGATTGCAGAGTTGGTGAGAGGAAACGTGGATTGGGAGCTAAAGAGAGTAGAGCAAGCCAAGTGATCTTGCTGCAGGAATATCCAAGTAAGGGGTGTCAAAACTTGTTTCTTATTTTTTTTAACCGGTTGATTTCTTGAGTTGTCAACATCGAATTGTGACGAGAGTCTTCTTGCCATCAATCCTAGGTTAAACCACCATTCATCTCATTCCTACATGAATTGGAACCAAACAAGAATATTTGATTAAAATTTCGTATGGTTGTTCTAGTGCATTTTGGATACTCTACAATGATCATTTCATATTTTAGAGTTTAAAAATAGATTCCTTGGATGCCAAAACCTAGAGTTAGCCATAAAAATCACTTAAATTGGATTTTTCTAGAGGAAGATGATGAAAAATGTGTTGAGAGGTGTTGCTGGAAAAATCTGCATGTAAACAGAATCTTTGGGAAATTATATAAAAATATCTTATTAGTTTTTAATTCTGACATTTTGGTTATATGTTCTTTTATATGTCTAGTTCATGTGTGATTTATTTCAAAAATTTCTAACATGTAGTTTTTCCATGAAAAATCTTGGAATTGATTAGGTTTTGAGTTGGGCGAAACAGAGTTGCTATGTCCGCCAGCAACTTTGAAAAATCATATAAAATCTAGATTGAAATGTTTTTAATTAAAATTTTTATCGTAGTTGTGACTGTATTTATATGTTAATTATATTTAATTTCATAATTTTATGACCATTATTTTATTTTATAAAAATATATCATTGAGTATTGCCCTGGTAGTGGAATCTTCAAAACGATGTTATTCCTGTTTTCATTTCATGTTGCTACTAGCTGCTGTTGTCTATATTATTTTGGTGCAGAATTTGTGGGAGTTATATGTTAAAATCCTTAAATGGAAAAAATACTTGAATTGTGATATGATGTAATTACATGATGAGTTTAGGTATGATCTGCGATGAGATATTGTATGCATATGTGTGTATATAGGCAAGGGAACAATATGAGTTCTTTGATAGTCGTAAAGCCAGAATGATTTCTTTACCTAGAGGACTTTGTCGAGTCATGGTAAAGGGGTTTTGTTCCTTCGTAAGTCTTTAGCATGAGCTTAGCAAGAGTGCTCCATCCAAGGCTTTGTCGAGCGGGTGGAGTTGTTGCTAGTAAGTTTATGGAAAGCAGGGGAAGGGACTTTTTCCAGAGGCGTTAGTGTGTAGGAAAAGTATGGGGGTTGGCTATGAGAGAATTTTATACCATCTATTTTTACTTGGTGGTAATATGATAGGGACTTTTTCTAGAGGCGTTGGTGTGCAGGAAATTTGGTATAAAAATTTTCAAAACTCACTCGACACACTTTCACCTTCGAGCGCGCTCTCACATCCAACATATAAATATATCAAAATATATAAATCTATTTATATTTATATATTTTATATTTATATATTTACACGGATATACATTTATTTGTATATAAATATAATTTATTTGTAAATTATTATCAGAAAATTCTAGTAGTTTAGTGGTTGGAGTATCGGCCTCCAATTCTAAGGTACTGGGTTTGAATCCTGCTAGTCACAATTCTCTTAATCCCATAATAATTCAAATTTCTAAAAAATATAATAAATAATAAAAATAATAAATAAAGGAAGGGGAACCTCTAGATAAATAGAGGGTATTAATAAATAAATATATTTTCTTAATCAAATAATAATTGAAATTCGTTCCTACGAGTCTATAGTGTATCTATATTCTTGACTTAGTTTTGGAAAATTATGGTTCGCATGTTTAATTGATACATCACCGATGTTATCGGTTAAAATCTCTCGGAAATTTTTTAGAGTTGTTTTAATCAATTAATCACGTTTTTATTAGTTAAAACATCTCAGAAAAATGGATAGAATATTTTTAATCGATTAAATGACTTTGTTATCGGTTAAAACAACTTAAACCTATTACACTTGAAAGCTAAATTTAGTTATTTTAATCAATTAAATGACGAATTAACCAATTAATCTTATCGAGTACACTTCAAAATTTTTCTATATAAATTTATTCTCACTTTTATTTTAAATATACTTTTGAGAAATCAATCAAGCAATCTTTTGATAATCATTCCAAGAGAAAAACAACACTTTACACTTTAATCTTTTAGAAAAATTATTCTTGAGGCTATTTGTTCTTTTTCTTGAAGCAACTCAACTTGTACTTGGATTGTTTCTTTAGCATATTCATTTTGATTGTTACTGTTTCTTCAAGCATTCTAATCTTTCATCTAGGTTCTTGTATTTTCGGTGTCTGAAAGTTTGGACATTGGTTAGGCAACTGGAATTGTGATTATTGGTGTGTAGGTTCAAGAATTGGTTTGTAATTCTTAAAGTAAATTGTGATTCTATTGTTGGTGTTTTTAATCAATTGAATTTACTTAGTGGAACTCAACTGAATTTTGGTTGAGAACTGGATGTAGCTCGGGTGAGCTAGTATAAATTTTGTTGTTCTTGTCTTTCTTTTCATTATATTCTTACACTCAAGATTGTTGTTCTTTGATTCAAAATAAGATTGATTTCAGTTAAATATTGAAATTCATAATCTAAAACAAAAAGTTGTGAAACTTTTTAAATAGATCAATTCACCCCCTCTTGATCTCGGTCTATATTTCTAACATTCCTAGTGTAACTTC